AGCGACAGCCGGCTTTTTCGTTCGATCTCGCGAAGCTAAAAGTTGGGGTCCGAAAGCGTGATTCCGATCACGTCTAGTTCCGAAGCTAATTGCACTTCTTCCAGAAAGACTTGCCGAGATTTAGTTGGCGACCCCGCTTTATTTGCAACGCTACTGCCTTTGGCTTTATCTGTTTCAGAAGCATTTGCTTACGTGATTCTTAATGACTTCATTAAGACTGCGCCCCACTTTGCAGTGAGCTAAACAGCAAGCAAGCCACGTTTTAATTAAAATTGTTTTATATGTCGCTAATAACGTACTTTTGTGCTTTTAGCGCTTGTTTTATTTCCTTAAGCGGCACTCGTTTGGCTCAACTGGCGGCATCAGCGTTCAGATTGCAGTCGCAAACCGACAGACGCATTTTACGATCTCCTTAGCCGAAAGCTCTAAGATGAATTATCATTTTCTTCACTTATTATGGGGTTTTAATATTCACTTTTGATGTTATTGATATCACTAAATATGGACGATTTTGAAGAACAAAATTGAGAAAATTTGCCTTGTTTCTTCTGCAGACCATAAAATAAGGCAATTTTCAAAGTTTTGCTTTCAGAGTGGAACTGTACGGAGATTTTGAGCCTTTTTACGCGATATAAAAGGCCTCAAAGGAAAGTTGTCTAACTGAGAAAACCGTGTTTAAAATAGTTTCAAATATTCGGTAAAAATTGGCAAAATTTATAGAGGCTTTTGTGCTCCAAAAACAGTGTAAGAACGAAACGTTTAGCCTTTTTCGTTTTTGTGTTTGGGATTTTTTAAATTTCAAACCCGCAAAAGTGAATCAGGCTTCTGAATTTTAGTTCAAAATTCGGAAAATTATTTGCGTTCAAAGTGAAACCTGGAATTATAGAGCTTTTTATGCCCGACAAATCAATTTTCAAAATTTTCAAAATTTCGGTAAAATTTGGAAAATTTTGTATTCGATGTGAAAGTTTACTTTCACCTGCGATTATAGAGCCTTTCATGAGCTCCAACTCAGCTAAAGAAGCTTTTGCCTACGAGTCTTAGTTTTCGCGTTTTGCGTTCTTAAAGTACCTTCTTTGACCTGCAAACAATAAAGTTAAGCAATTCTCAAAACTTCGGTAAAAATTGGAAAATTATGTATTCGATGTGAAACTTTACGAGCAATTAGAGCCTTTTACGCGATATAAAACGCCACTAAGAAAAACTGTCTAAGTGCATTCGCTTTTAAGTTATGATTTTTCAAATAAAACCATGTTAAAAAAAAGATTCAAATATTCGGTAAAAATTGGCAAATTTTTGCTTCACAACAAAACTTTCCGAACTTATAGAGGCTTGTGTGCTCTAAAAATCAGTGTCAAGGGGAAACGTCTAGAATTTTTCGTTTTTGTGTTTGAGATTTTTTAAAATTTCGAACCCGCAAATGTTAAAGTGAATCAGAGTTCTAAATGTTGGTTAAAAATTGAGAAAATTTGCATTCAAAGTGAAACTTTGAACTGAAATTATAGAGCCTTTCATGCGTAACAGGTCAGCTAAAGAAGCTTTTGTCTACGAGTCTTAGTTTTCCCGTTTTGTGTTTTTAACGTTAACCCTCT